ATATTCTCCTATACATACATATACACACATCTAATCTCACTCACGGCAGCAGCCTATGCAGCCGCTCATGATATACATACATACATACATGTATGTAGGTGGTCCACTCCCGCAACACGCTCCCTTTTATTTTGCTGCTCTTTTACTCATTACATCAGCAAACTTCGTTCTTCACAGCGCTCTCAGTGTCGAAAGAGAATTAGCTTTTAATGAGTTTCATCATGCAGCCTCTCGCGCCTTTCTTGATTTGTTGCCTTCGCTTTCGCTACCGCTCTCCCGATCTGCCGCGCTCGAGCCGAGGCCCTTGCCCGCCTGCTCTTGTCTAGGGTGAACCTAGCACATCGGCGTGGAGTGGTTAAACTGAATCTTTGTGCTCTCGTCTTAAACCCAACTCGAACCGTTCGTTATTTCTTAGCCGCTGTATCACAAAAGACACGGCACAATAAACATTGAACAATCCTCGACTTTTGCTATATACATACATACAAATATCGCTAACTACGCTATTGAAAAAGCTCAGCAGCTCAACAGCTAGGATATATGTATACCAGTATACACGGTATATATTTATTAGATAGATGCATACATATGTATGTATACATGTGTCGGAGCCTGGTAAATATGAAGCGGCACATCGTGCAGTTGTATTTTGCCAAGCACAGCAAGGCGCAAGCCTTACGTTCTCTTTCTTGTATACAAAGTTGAGTGAAATCCTCTCTTTTCAGGCGATCCTCTTTCCTTCTTATTTTGCTCAACAACAAACACTAACAACATGCTCACTCTTTGTCGCTCAAAGAGCAACATTGCTTTCAGCAACAATGAATCCAAACCAGATGTATTCAGCCAGCTATGGTTGCAACTAACATTTATTGTAGATTACGTATTCTAAAAGAAAATACTCAAATTATTTCCTAATCTCCGAAATATGTACGTAGGTATTGGTAAATTTAAAACTGATTTTATGATTTTAGGGAAAAATTACCATTCCGTGTAGAAAAATGATTCGAATTATTAAATGAATTATGATGGATGAATCTCTAAATTAACGTGAAGAGAATTTATTATAGCCGTAACCATTACCACCAGGACGTAGTCATCGGAATATCTAAATTCCGATACGCGCAGAGCAATTATTCCCCATTTCGGTTAGCACGAATCTAATTCTAATTCCCCCAATCCCGGGCTGGGGTTGTGGGTGGGTTATCTCCACTCTGCATACAGCCACAGCCGTAGCCGTAGCCGTAGCCACAAACTGGTGGCCATTAATTGCCAGCATTCGATCATCCACGAATCCAATACCCATTTGAGAGCTCTAGAGAGGCGGATGGTTATTTACCGGAGCTCTGTTTATTGATATTTTATGCGCCATTCGATTAATTGCAATTTTAGGCACGTTTCCGTACCCATTTCCACGCCATTTTCCATTTTCCCATTTGCATAACACGAACACGAATTGGCCATTTAAGTTTTTAAAGCGGTTTTGACCAAAAACCGAATTCAAATTTTTGCGCACATGTCACGGGCCAAAAAAGAGATGCAAAGAAATCGAATTATACATTGCATTGCAGGCCATTTAATTGCAGCTTTAATTGCACGACTCTATGGGCGGGGCACAGTCATAACGGTGTGGCGGGAAGGGGGGGAGGGGGGAGTGCGGGCCCAATGGACTTTTGTTGTTAAGCCAAAGTGCAGTTTGTTGTCAAGTTTTGTGTGAATATCTTAAAAGAGAGCACACACTTTACATTCAAATGGGCGGACGGGAGCGAGGAGTGGGGAGGGACAGGTGGGGGCGTGCCCGGTGAAGTGTCAAGTTTATTACGGGCCATTGCAGTGGCAGTGGCAGTGGCAGTGGCAGGTAAGGAATCACACAGGATCAAGTGTCAAAATGGCAGCACAGCTTAAAAATTTTGCAAATATTCAAGTGTGTGTGTGTGTTTGTGTGTGTGTGTGGATTGTGCGTTTCCCTCAGCGGCCGCAGCAACAATTGCCGGCCGGAGTAAGTCGAAAACCAAAGCCAAAGCCAGAGTTCAAACACAATTTCTCAAATATGCACAGCCATAGCCATGTGCAGTCATACACACACACCCACACACACAAAACCACTGAGCGTAGGCGTGTGTGCGTGTGTCCAGGCCTACACCGAGGGAAAATAAATTAGATTTTATTTAACTTTGCTTTTCATTCATATACAAAATGATTTAAACTTGTAAAAAGTAGTTCGACTTCATTGCCAGGGGATACAGGGCAGAGTATTGGTAGTATTTTGGGAGGTGCCGTCGTTCGAAGCCCCAATTGACGGATGGGAGTCTTCTTTAGAGCACTGAGCCTTTGGCCAACTGTGTTGTGATGGCCAGAAGATGCTGCTGTCTTGCTAGAATGATTATGCGACTGGAGTTCGTTTTCTGGATCTTTCACGGGCCGTTCGTCAGCTGTTTCTGTAACTAACAGCTGTAGTTGGCTCACCTGGGCTACGATTAACAAGCCACTAATCTTCGCAATGGAGTTTTGTAGTCATAAGTCCCATAGATCCATAAGAGAGGGGCACTGAACTCTTCTTTGATTTGAATGCTTCTTATAGCAGAAATTAAAGTGGATTATTTTAGACTGTGAAAGAGGTTCACTTTAAACGAATGATGAATTTAAGATCCTTCAATTTATACATCCCAGTTTTTTTTCTTAATTTATTATTTTTTATTTTATTATTTATTGTTATTATTATTTTTATTTATTATTGGTAATTTTTATTTATTTATTTATTATTATTATTTTTTCTATTATTAATTTTTTTTTATTATTATTTTAAATTTTATTTTATTTTTAAACGAATGATGAATATTTGAGATCCTTTAATTTATATTTCCCATTTTTTGTTCCTAATTTATTATTTTTATTTTATTATTTATTATTATTATTTTTTTTTATTTATTTATTTATTATTATTATTTTTTTATTATTATTATAATTTTATTTTATTTTTAAACGAATGATGAATATTGGAGATCCTTAAATTTATATTTCCCAGTTTTTTTCTTAATTTATTATTTTTTATTTTATTTTATTATTTATTATTATTATTATTTTTTTTTTATTGATTATTATTTTTTTAAATTTATTATTATTTTTTTTTTTATTTATTATTGATATTTTTTTATTATTATTTTTTTTTATTTTTAAACGAATGATGAATATTTGAGATCCTTAAATTTATATATCCCACTTTTTTTTAATTTACTATTTTTTTATTTTATTTTATTTTATTATTTATTATTTTTTTTTCATTTATTTATTTATTTGAAGGCATTTCCTTTTTTGTAAATTGTTAGTAATTATTATGAGTACTATAATTTCTGCCAGTGGACGTCTGCTCGTACATAGTATGTGTATGAGTGTGTGTGTGTGTGTGTGTGTGTGTGTGAATGAGCTCCTCATGCATTGCCCAGCAGCTGCCTTGCACCTCTGGTACTGAATGGTCTCCGGGCACGCCCTTTCAAGCCGTAAAAGAAGATAAATGACTGAAGTGAGCCATATCAGGCACAGTCAGCATCCAGCAGGCAGCAGTCAGCAGCCAGCAGGCGGCGGCTCTAACTGCTTTGCATTTGCCGATGCAGGCCACAGGAGCAGGCTGGGGGCCCCCGAAGGAGGGGCACACTTGGCCATCTTGAGGCTGCAGACGTCAGCCGTCGTCAGGAATGTCCTTGTCCACTCACCTCAGCCCACCCCACCCCACCGCACCTCTCGCCACCTACCGCCCTGTCCCTGTTCCGGTTCTTTGGTCAACTTTGCATTTGATTAAAAGCGGATAGCCGCCCCTGATGAATGGCACATGTGGCATCTTCTGCTGTTTCCATTATCAAGCGGAGTCCACCATTTTGAATTCCCATTCTCCGCCTGCACGCCCCCCTCCCCCTCCCCCGCCCCCCTCTCACCTTCACAACTCGAATGGAAAGAGGGCACAAAATTTAATTTAATATTCATACGACTGTAAAACGCTACAAAAGTTGCAAAAAATGAAACGGACAGAAAATGCTCGTTAAATAACAAAAAAAAAAAAAACCAGCAAGCAAGCAAATAACTGCGAATGTACGTACGAAATAAAAAGGAAAAATGAAACGAGTTTGCCGCCAAAGCGAAAGAGGAATACGCTTTCCCAGGTTTCAGGGACAAAAACCCTATTAAATGTACACAAAAATGACCTCCGTTGTGGCGCCATGAAATGCCAGTGGAATATTCAGAAGATATTCACAAAATTCATAGGCCTGAAGCAAAGGTATTCGAGTACCCCTCGCCAGTACTCGATCTTCCTCTGGGCATTGTTTATTCCGTTTCCGGAGAGTAATATGCGTACTCCCATTAGCCAGGCAAAATACCTTCCGTAAGATGTGTCCCACAGAAATATGACACTCAGCGGCAGTGGGTGGGACCTGGGACCCCTCCCACAACGTCAGACAAAAGTAAACACGCTCTCGGCTCTCGGCTCTGACAGTGGGCATGAAAATTTATTGCTTTTGCCCCAAACACCCTCAGACGCAGCCGCAGCCAGAGACGCCCCACGTCAGCGGCGGCGGCGGCGGTGGTGGTGGAGGAGGAGGAGTCCGACTCCGTGGCGCATTAAATTTTGGTGGCATTGCGATGTCTGCCATGCAGCCACTGACAAAAGCTGCAAAAGTTGGCCATGACCGGCTCTGCAGGCAGGAAAAAGAATTACCCAAAAAAAAAATGAGAATACAGGAAAATAAATTCCAGCACAAGAAGAGGCTACGAAAGGGCGCTCTGAACCCTGAGAAAACCTATAGCTATAACCTATAAAAAATATATAAATATATGTATATATATTTGCCATGATTTCTCTTATCTCTCAGAACTCGGACGTAGCGATAAGAAAATCCCAGCTTCCCATATAGTCCAGCTTCAGTCTACTCGAATCACTTTGCCTTTGCAGTAGCCCCTTCAGAATGCTGCATTTCAGAATATTATTCTCATTATTATTGACAAGTACTTTTTCCCGCTTGAGTGCGGAAAAAGTCTGCGAAATGTCATCGATCCGTAGTAGTTCTCCTTCAGTGAGATATCACATAAATGCTGTGCGGTAAATACTACGCAGGGATTGCTTGAAAACTCTTGAAAACTATTCAAATCATTCACAGAGTGGAGCAGGAGTGCCATAGAGAGTTGTTGAATGATCTGGCCAAGAAACTGGACACTTGCCTGTCCAAAACTGGGCCGGAGACAATGCCTTACGGGAAAAGCTGCGCCAAGCCCACGATCTTGGCGCAGAGCAGCGAAATCATGTCGATCGTGGTGCCCACGTACAGTGATCACCCCTTTATGGTGGCCTGCGACCAGCTGTCTCACGGAGGCGGCTGGACCATCTTCCTGCGGCGTACTGACGGCAGCGAGGACTTCAACCGGGATTGGATTGACTACAAGCACGGTTTTGGCAAGTTGCAAAATGAGTTCTTCCTGGGCCTCGACAAACTGCACGCCATGACCTCAGCTGAGGCCCAGGAACTACTCGTGCTCTTGGAGGACCATGGGGCAGAGCGGCGATACCAGATGTACGACAACTTCCGAATCGGATCAGAGAAAGAGGCATATGCCCTGGAATCGCTGGGCCTTACCTCTGGGAATGCTGGCGAGGCTCTCGCCTTACATCTGGGCCAAAAGTTCACCACACGGGATCGCGATAATGATCGACATGGGGACAACTGTGCAGTCACTTACTCCAGTGCTTGGTGGTACAATTCGTGTCATGACAGGTGAAAACACTTACATACTCGTAGCTCCAAAAAGAAGGGCTTTCACCGATCTCTTTGCTTAGCCATCTGGCTGGAAATTATGGCGATAACTCCTCTGGAAAGGGCATCCTCTGGGCTACGTTTAAGGGTCACAACTACTCGCTGAAAGGCGCTCAGATGATGATAAGACCGAGGAGACAGGAAACAACCAGTCCTGACGTTGGGATTTAAGGCGCGCCCTAAATTATACATCAAATATAAGACCAATTAGCCATATTCCAGGTGTGTCTCTGTATAGCAGGTTGCTCTGGCATCTAGGCGGCACGACACGGGATGGACAGACGTCTATGGATGTGGCTTAGAAACCCTTCCTTCGGGAAACAGCAAACATATTACAAACTTCAAATCAAACAGGCGAAAAGAGGATAAACCTGTTTACCCATCTCTCAGGACAAAAGCTAGCAAAAGCTGAGAGAGATCGTTGTCTATCGAGCGTTTTGTCCGATTTGGTTATCGATAAATCATCGGAAAATAATCGCAGTTACACCAAATATCGAAGGCACGAAAAGGAGATCACCTTGAAATGAAAACCGAGTGTTTTGGGAAACACAGAGCCATAGTCCGAAGTGTACCGAAGGGACAGCAAGAACAGGGTGGAGGGATTCGTGTCCCGAACTTGGAAACGGGTTGATCCAGTACTTTGTCATGTCCTCTAAGCATTAAAAGTCTACAACGAATAAGTATTGGAGTATTGGCAGCGCGGAAAAAGTCAAGCAAAAGTCATGACACTTGTCACTGCTCATGACAGTCCTCAGGCGTGTCCAGAGGGACCTAAAGGGCATCAAAATAAATATCTTTGAACCATAAACAGCTGATCTAAAGCTGAGGAAAGGTGGGGGACTCCCCGCCCACACTTTTCTAATTGACCGGCTTCAGTTTTTTGGCATTGGTTCCCTCTTGTGTGCTTAGTGTTTGTTGCCAATTTCCGTTTCCTCTGCTGACCAGCAAAACTTCATTTATTCTCGCATTGGCTCTGCCCTAAGCCCGACTGCACACGTATTTGCTGATTGCGAAACAAATATTGACAGGGCCCGGAGGGGGCATGGCCGGCCCTGTTCTTCGAGTAACTTATCGGCCAGTCCGCAGAGACATTTCCCTTATTTCTGTTTTTCTTTGCTTTTTTGTTGGGGCTTGGGTTTTTTTTCCGGTCTGGTCTCCATATCGTGTTCCACTAGCACAAAAGCTGAAATTATATTTAAAACTTGTCTCTTGTTGGCTATTTTTTGCGCAGTTTCCCTTCCCGGCTTGCGGGCTGGCATTTTATTTACTTTTGTGGTCATTGTGCGCCCAAAAGCCCCAAAGTTATAATTCTTTAAGTTTTTATCTGTCCCCCCATCCCCATCCCCACACACATTCAGGATCCAGCAACAAAGGGACAAGAGGGAGACCCGTGGCTCTGTCTGGCTCGCTGGCTGCCCAAGTGGGCGTGTATATGGGGGGGGTGGGGGGCCTCTTCACCCGTCATTTTAGCATATTAATGATTTATGAATGGCCAGCGTTTAGAATTAACAAAAGCAGCCCCAAAGTTGCTGTCTATTTTCATTTAGAATTCGCTTAATTTTCATTTGCTTTGCTTATGAAAATGTTAGACACCCCTCGCTGACTTTTTGGGGGGCACTTTCAATTTTAATTAAGACGGAGAACAGCCTCCACCCTCCCCCCATTGGATGGGGCCGTTTGTTGTTTACTTTTGGGCGGGCGAGCACACATTTGTTGTGCTAATGAGGCCATTTTTCGGGCACAATTACCTGGCCAGGCCTAAGCCCAGATCATCCGTAGGCTCCCAGTCATGTGTGTGAACAAATTGCCTACGAGATGCTGGGCAACGATTGGAACTAGTTCTTTGTCAACCTTGTAGAACCTTGCCCAATACATAGACTCCTAGAAGCCACCTTCAAGGCAGTTCTTTGCCTCGGCTGCCATTTGGCCCGTATGTTTAGGCCGCGTCAGCAGAAATGATTTGTCTCTGGCTTACGTAGAAGTAAGTACCTGCCATAAAGCCCGAAGATACTTGGCCACTGTCCACTATCCCTGGGAGCTGGCAAAGGCGAAAGTTGATGGCCGAAGCTTGGGCAAATTTCCATTTAATTAATGGCCACGTTTGAGAGGTGGCCCAATCAGTGGCCTTGCATTGCAATGCAATAAAAGCAACCGAAAGTCTATTAAGCAGGATAAAGCCAAAATGGCAACGTGGCGCTGGCTCGGATTTAATGCCAATAAACCGCGGGAGAGGCCCGGATCCAGCCCGGACACGGTAGAGGGAGCTGGAAGCTGCGGGACTTGTAACTGAGCTAACCAGCCAGAACCAGCCCAGGGGGGGTGGAGGGGGCCACCGAACTGTAACTCGAAACAATGCTTAATGGGGTCGGATGTTGGGGCGGCTGTGGGGCACCAGTGGGGGGGGAGGCAAGCCAGGAACAGGGTAATCTACCGACTGAATGTGCAACATGCCAATGCACATGATGTGTTTAATGGTTAAATTGTTGCTAATTCCATTACCCGTTTGCTGGCCTCCATTTTGTCTACCTCTGCGAGTGTCTCTCTCTGTGTCTCTGTCTGGGGGTCTGAGGGTCTCCGTCTGTGTTTGCACTGGTGTTTGTTTCTGTGTTTGTGGCCAAAGTGTTGCACCCAGCAGCCAGTCCAGAGCCAGCCGCTGGCAAATGGAACGTGCACAAATTAATGTTACGTTGACGCAATGTTGGCCAGGCTCTCGAGTGGCGTGACCCCAGCCCGGAGCGTTTCCCAATCGGCCCGCTTCGAATTTGGCACATTGTTTGCCAGGGCGTGCAGGTTTGTCAAACGTGTCCGAGACGGGGCGTGGGGACAGGCAGGGCTTTCAGCTGGTAGGAGCCTCAACTGAATATCCTTGGCAATCGATTAGGCATACCGATTTATGGCCCCCATCTACCGGCATCTGCACTTAGCAAACGCTCATCCCCAAAAATGTTTGCGGCAAAGCATAAAATCCGATTTGAGGATTTAAAATTTCTGCATCAGAGACTCTAGCACCGACCCCGACCCTCAAATTAGAAGCCTTCCTCCCCCTCGAAACCCCAAAACGGGTAAGCACATTAAATTTGTTTAGTATGTGCACTAAAGTATGCGCGACAGGGCATCAAGGGCTGCACACAAATGGTTATGGGAACCCAAGTTGGGCGCCACCGGCTCCACCGGCTCCACCGGCTCCATTCAGTTAACGCGTCGCAGTGGCGTAGTTGGCACTTTTCTATTTATTTGCCCATTAACGCTCATTTGTGGTTATCAGGTAAATTGGATAAAAGCCAACGTAGCATGAAGCCAACCTGGCCTCTCCCTCTGTGACCCGGGCCTGCGCCTCTGCCTGGGGCAAGTCCTGCCCTGCTCTGTCTCGCTTTTTGCTCCCTTTCTGCCACTGCTTATCTTCGAGTGTTGTTGCAACATGAAATGAAGGCTTTGCCATTGGCTTTGCTTCACCATGGAAATGCTCCTCCGAGTGTGCTCCTCCTTTACCGCTAACTGCGTCAGTCATTAACTTTTTACGACTGTTTTTCTGTCTTTTTTTTTTCTCCTGTTTGATCGCGGCTTACCCCATGCCCCAGCGCCATTCAAAATTGAATTCAAATATTTGCGGTTGCAGAAACGAAACTTAATTTTTCCCGTATTTAATCCGCAATTTGTTTAGCCCCATAAATTTAGCGTCCCCTTCGTCCCATTTCCTCTTCGACAGCAAAGCAGCCGCCGACCTTTATGCATTCGGTGTCCGAGGGAGATGGAGCCACATTTAAATGCGCCATGTTGCAAGCTCAAATGAAATTCTGTGGCAAAAAACAAAAAGAAGCGCAACAAAAATGCAAATAAAAAATGTACAAAAATATATGCAAGGCCCACAACGGATGCGGGATACCTTTTCCGCGAAAACATATCTACTCCTACGATTTGCGGCCCCAAGAAAATGCATAGAACTCGGTGGAAAGGGTATAGCCGGGGAGGGAGAGCCTGCAACACAATACTCAGGCACAGGCGGTGGCATTGTGGCTGGGGATCGGTGTCGTCGCTGTCCTTCGTCGACGTCCACTGCATGCGGTCGCTCAATATGAAAGGAATATGCAGTATAAAGGCTCAGTTCTGAGGGCGAGGGCTGAATAGGACAGTGGGTGGCACGGGCCGAGGTCTGTGGTCGGTTTGCGCTAAATTAAATTTCGACGCGGCTGGGCCCCAAAGCCCCTCCCCCACCCCCCACCCCACACACACACGAGCGCACATGCACTTGCTCGTATACAAATTACTATTTGTCGACAAAATATAGAGAAATATGTATATGGCAACATCTGCCCAGTGTTGTGCAACACCGAGACACAAATGCGGGGGTATCTTTTTTTCTTCTTTATTATTTTTTCAATTTTGTATATTTCAGCTGCACATCGCCATTGAGGAATATCCCCAGGCCGGTGTCTGCATCCATGGGAACCTTTGTGGTCTGCTCAACCTGGTACTGCGAGAGGATGTGCAGGATGGCCGTTTTGACGCTCAGTTGGCCAACACGCATGCCTGCAATGGTTACGAAACGCTTGTCAAAGAATATACCAAGAATATACCATAAGGAACCCCTTTTAAGGGCTTCAATGGAGTGTCTGACCATCTTATGCCGTCCAATACCCACCTAGACAAATGCGGGGACCATCCCCAAAGGGCAGGTAACAGCCCCGCTTGGTCAGAACACTCGCCGCCCCATTCTCGAAGCGATCCGGCTGGAAGAGGCTTGCCTCCGGGTAGAAGGCGTCGTCGTGATGAAACTGGTAGGCGGGAATCATAACACTGGCGCCTGGCTCTAAGTCCGCCACTTGGCCCTGGCCCAAATCCAGTTGGGTGGCCTTCGTGCAGATCCTCATGAAGAAGCCAATGGGCGTGGTCAGGCGCAGAGACTCTGAAAGGAAAAGTCAGAGACTACTCGACTTAGGGCATGAGACATACCATTCAAGCACTGATCCAGATAGGGCAGGGCGTTCAGCTGCTCGTAGCTGAGGTGCTCGTCGGCGGCCAGCGCCTCCGCAAGTTCCGAGCGTAATTTTTCCTGCTCTTCGGGGTGCTCGCTCAGCTGATAAGATTCGGTGACGTTTTAGTGGGGGGGGTTTCGATGGGAAATTGTGAAATTGTAGCTACCGTGTAGAGCATGTGATAGAGCACGGCGGCGGAGGTCTCGTAGCCGTCCAAGAGCACGGTCAGGGCGTGACCCACGGCGTCCGTGAGGGTGTTGCCCCGCTGCTGGAGCTGGATCAGGTGCGACAGGTAGTCCGTGCGGTCCGAGCCACTGCCGCTGTGGCGCAGCCGGAGAGCATCGCGGGTGAGCTGCAGATAGAACTGTTCGGCCGTCTTGGTGAAGAACCGCATCCGCAGGACCTTGCGCAGGAACGGGGCCACCAGGGACTTGTTGAACCTGATGATCGACTTGAAGGCGCTGTTGGTCCAGTCCGTGGAGGTCTTCTGGAAGGGACTCGTCTCTCCCACGGCGCCGGTCAGGGTGCCCGCGTCAATGCCCCAAATAAAGTCGGCCATCGTGTTGGCCGTAAAGCGATAGGCGAGCTAAAACCATCAAAGATCAGTCCTTGGATCTGCAAATCCGGTGCTGATAACTCACGTCTCTGGTCTCGATGATGTCGCCCCTCTCTTGTCGCACCCGCTCGATGTACTCCAACAGCTTCTTCCCACTCTGCTCCCAGATCGTAAAGGCCATCTTCAGTTTATTGGGAGTGAGTCCGCCCACGCTCTCAGTGCGCCTTCGCTTCCAGTCATCGCCGGCACTGAAGAAGGGCGATACCTGCACGAACCTATCGTCGGGATTGTGGCCCACAAAGCTGCTGGTTACGGTGTCCCGGAAGTGGCTGAACTTATCCACCAGGACCTCGTGGGCCAGGGCCGGGTCCAGCACCAGCAATTGGGGCTGGCGGGTGAGGAAAGTGCCCACCGCTCGGTGCTGGTCTTTGTACTTGCTGTGCGAGGTAAAGCCCATTAGAAACGGGTGGCGCAGGACTCGTCTCCGTTGACTCACTTGTACACCTCCTGGACGTCGAGTATGAGACTGCGGCTCTTGTCGGCCAGAACACCCGGATAGGTGCCCAGGATGGTCAGCGGCTCGGCTGTGAGCACGCCCCGCTTCTGCCAGTACTTGTGGTGCCAGGTCAAGTACAAATAGACCGCGGCAAAGGCCACATGAACAGCGCCCAAGAGCAGACCGACCGTCGTCCACATGCTGAACAGATCCCCACGGAGAACGAATGGAAACTGTTTGTTTGCTGCCCAGATAACGCCGACCACAGCGTCATCCGGCGTATCTCTAATGGAAAAAAATCGGAATAATCGGTAATCTGACGTACTCGCAGCCATTACTGGCGTAATTTGTATTAAAAGTGCTATATTTTACAACTTTATAGGCCAGATACTGATAGCACTATCGCTTGGAGTCTGACGATAAGTAGGAGTGTGTGCTCTATAAGAAATGCAAGGTAGGCTAGGGAAATATTACAAATCTGCACTGCATCGATAGGCCATGGTTTATTGGAAATTACCAAACATTTTCTAGGGATAATGATGGGATCTAAGTTACGCTTCAATGCCCTATCATTAGAGGGGCATTATCTGCTGCAATTACAATGAGTACAAATATTGAAAAACTATATAGAATATATAGAACGATTGTAAAGTATATTTAAACATAAAAATCTATCTAAAAAAGCGTCGATACTCCAGATGAACATTCCCCTGGAGCACCACGCCGAAGCCAGCATCGCCATAGGGGACGAGTCTCTTCTTGCCCCGCACCACCTGAAAATCGCTGAGAATGTGGATCAGGGCGGACTTGAGAGTCAGCAGAGCCAAGCGCATGCCTACAGGAGATATGGGACATGAGATAGAGGCATTGTGAGGCCCCCCTGAGAGCATACCCATGCAAATGCGGGGTCCATCGCTGAAGGGGAGAAAGACACCTTTGCGGGTCAGCTCGAGATGAGCGGCATCATCGAATCGTTCCGGCTTGAACGACTCCGGATCGGGGAAGTACTTCCTATCGTGGTGGAACTGATAGTTGGGTATCATGATGGTCATGCCCTCCTCCACTTCGAGTGTCTTTGATTCGTTGAGCTGAATTTGGGTGGCATTCGTGCAGACCTTGGTGTACTGCGGAATGAGGCTGCTAAGCCGCAGAGATTCTGCAGACGATTCAGATAAAAGCAATTACAAAGAAAGGCAGGGAGCATATACCTACCATAGACCACCTGCTCCAGGTAGGGCAGGGCACACAGCTTCTCGAAGCCGAGACTCTTGTCGGCGTCGAGGCTCTGGAGGATTTCCATGCGCAGCTTCTGCTGGGCTGCCGGGTTCTCAGCCAGCTGAAAGGAGGCGAAAGTCAATGGCATCGGACTCGAATCGTTGTGTTGGCCTCACCCACATAGTACAGGGCGTGGAGGAGAGCCGTTCCTGTGGTGTCGTAACCGTCTAGCATCACGGTCAGCGCATGCCCCACCAGATCATCGTGGGAGGCCTGCTTCTGTTCGCGCAGCTGCAGCAGATGAGAGAGATAGTCTGTGCGGGTGTTGTCATTGCCGGCACTGAGGCGCATGTCAATGGACTCCTTGGTTAGCCGAGAGAAAAACTCGTCCGTCTCTTTCGGGTAGAAGCGCAGGCGCAGCAGTAATCGGCTGAAAGGAGCCACAATCGAGGCCATGAATACGGATATCATATAGAAGGCATGGCTGGTCCACTTGCTGGCCATCTGCTGCACCTTGTTGGGGTGCTCCTGGGGCCGGCTCAGGGTCCCGGCATCTATGCCCCAAATAAAGTCGGCCATGACATGGGCCGTGTAGCGAAAGCAGAGCTGAAAAGGCAGACACATCGAATGGGTTCTTGAATGGGACAGCCTGCTGCACTCACATCTCTGGTCTCGAGGAGATTGTGGGGCGCCTTAATCCGATCCGTCATGTAGCTGGTCAGCATCCTGCCGCCCTCCTCCCAAATGGCATAGCCCTGCTTCAGGCGATGCCCCGATATCCCCGCCTGGGCGTCTGTGCGGAGGCTGCGCCAGGTCTGGCCGGAGGCCCAGAAGGGATTGCGGCGCGCGTACTTGTCCCACCTGGCATGCCGTATATACGAGCTGGTCAGCGAGTCCTTGTAGCAGCGGAAGTTCCGCACCAGAATCTCGTGGGCCAGCTCCGGGTCGAGCACCAGGATCTGCGGCTGACGCGTCACAAACACCCCCACGGCCCGATGTTTTCCCTTGTACTTGCTTTGGACGTTTACAGGGAACTCTTAGATGGACTGAAAACCAAAGCCAAAGGGCCAACTCACTCGTAAACCTTCTGCACATCCTCCACCAGATTGCTCGTCCTCGTCAGCAGTCCCGGATAGGTGCCCAACATGGTGAGCGGACGCGCCGTGACCAGGCCCCTCTTGCGCCAGAACCTGTGATGCCACGTGAGATACACGTAGAGGGGCAGCAGCAGCAGATTAACCACGATCAGTCCCAGCGTCACTAAGATGTACATGTTGCCGCGATCCGCGTAGTTGGAGGCTCCCCGGACTCTCGGCCGGTACTGATCGACTCGACTCTGCCGCTCAGACCTCATCCAGCGCCGTCGTCGATCCGGGCTGCTAGTCTCCATGTAATCGTAGAAGACCGTGTGAAACGGGGTATTCGGAAGAGGGGATAAATATATATTATATATTGAAATATATTTAAATGCTATTGAGATGTTCTTACACCGATATTTATAGATGAGTTATCAGCACAGCCAGCTTTTGTGGGAGCCAACGACCCGGCCGATTGATGAGCCCCCTGGTCAATTTTCCAGCAGAATAAGCCTTAATATGCACATTTTCGAACCAAGAAAATATGGTGAAATGACTATCGCTTAACATTGAAGATTAAAAGGCCCTTGGGCTGTGGCACGTTGTGGTGGCATGACTGAGACATGGGGTGAAGCGATACTTGACACAGAAGCACGCAATATTCCTTGATCGTCTCTCTAGTGCGGACTCCCATTTTTCCTTATTCTTATTCGAAATACGACTTCTTAATTCTTCTCCTTCGATAAAGCAACAGCCCTATTTCGTTATTTATTATATTTGGAACAACGCTTTTTAGTTCCAAATTGAGTAGTTTTTGAAACCATGCAAATAGGTCGATCCTTTGTCATCAAAGAGCAAAAACGTCATCCGAATTTGAACCTTTTTGGCTATGTTTTGGTTGAGTTGTCCATAAGAAACTAGACTTCACAGCGCCATTGATAATTTGGCTACCGAATGTGGTAAAAATCGTATGATCTAATCATAAAGTAGATATTTTGCTCTATGCTTTGTATCGGAACCGCCCCTAGTGTTGTTAACAAGAGCTCTTCCCTTCACAATCCATGGAGCCGCCTACCATCCTACTTTCGGAGTGTTGCTCGATATAGGAAAAACTCTATTGGATCGGTCTGATAGTCTTCTGCTTTCGTGAGCAGGTATGATCAGGTTATTGGCAAAAGAACACCTAAGACTCTGTGGACGCCAATAATTCCAATATATTTTATGTAATAGTACGAGTAGAACAGGAAATGTTCAAATAATACTCTTAAAGGACATCTTAAGTTATGAATAAATATGAAAATGAGCTTAATTATAAGTGTATGCTATTCCTGAGTGGCATTTCGACCTCTGACATAATAAACTGTTGTTTTAAAGGAGGTTTGGGCATTAGGAACACCCAAGAAGAGGTATACATATCCTGCTCATCGATTCTAGTCGATACCATTGAGCAAGGGCACGACATAAAACTGCACAAAGATTTCCTCCTGACCCTCTCCCTGCATCACGAGATGCAGCTCCAGTAGGCCGAGGTTATTCGTTTTGATGGACACCTTTGTGGCCGCCTGCATGGCCTTGTTCGTGAGCCGTATCTGCTGGCTCTTGTATCGGGCCACCAAAGTCTGGGGGCAGTTGAACATCATCATCATGGGGCTGGTCTTGGCCACCTCAACGCTGAACACCGCCTGCATGATGCCGATGGTGGTAATTTTGAAGTACGGCCGATCGGGCGAAGTGATGAACTCGAATTCCTCCGCCGACTTCTCCAGTTCATGGAAGATCTTGGACAAGTTTGGACCGCGCACGAAAATCGTGTTCAGATCCGAGTCCTTCAGGTTCAAATCGTACTCGATGGGCTCCTCGGAGTCCATGGTCTTGATGGCGCACTCTGTGCTCACATCTTCGTCGTCGTACGGGTACAGAATTATCTTCAGGGGGTCGCCCTGGTCCTTGTACAGCATCCGGACGCTGCAATCGGCCGTCCCAAATAGGTTCAGACACTCCGAGAGGGCGTTCATTTTCAGGCCAAAGCTCTGAAAGTCCTGCACATGGAACTCCGTGAAGGCAGCGGGGGGCATAAAGAGAGTGGCTTGGATCGACCTGCCCTGCTCCACTGTGATGCGCAGTCCCTCGTCGGAGACTTGAAGCATGGCATACTGTGGGTGACAACAGAATTTAAGCCAAAAACTATCTCGAGCAAAGCAGGGGGAGGGCTTACATCGTTAAAGCATATTGATTTGATGGCGGCGTTGAAGGTCTTCACGTGATCCAAGCGACTTACAAATTTGTAGTCCTCCAAATGGTCCTCCATTCTAGTCTAGGTAGATGGAGCTACGCAGGGCCCTAAACTCTTCATCAGCGACTGCCTGTTCCGCAGGATGCTGCAGCAATTGATGCAGCTTAAGGGCCAAAACGTGCGGGCAGGTGTACGAAACCCTGCTGGCGTCGCTCCAGCCGTCCAGTGTGGTGGTTATGTCCCTTGGCAGGTCGTGGTACAGCACTCCGCTGGGCAGCTGCAGGACATGGCTTTGGAAGAAGTCGCACTTGCAGTAGTTATTCCCTGGGATCACTCGGTAATAAAGCGTTCCTTTGTGGAGTTCCGCAACGCACTGTTTGCGATTGTTTTTGGAATAGTAGTAGATGAAGCTATATCTGTCCAGCAGGTGCAAGGATCGCTCCACCAGCTCTGCTCCCAGCAATTGCGATAAGTGGTAAAACAACTGCTTTCGGTCCTCTGCAAGAGATATGTTTTATAATTGAAAGGGTTTTCAAATTGCTTGTGCAGGAAAATTCACCTTTCGAGAGGCCGCAACTGTGGGATTTGTCTTGGTAGTTCTTGAAGATGAGATCCACTACTTCAGGGAGGAAACTGTCTGTTAAAGTTGCTAATTCCACCGCCATTCAACCGTTAAAGCTTTCATTTTCATTAAGTAATCTAAATAAATCAGAAGAAACCAAGCCCGCAAGCAAAGCGCCAAAAACATGACCATAAACAGCTGACTGCCGGTGAAACGGTATGGCAAAAAAATACTAGATTGCCTTTGAGCTGGTCACTCTAAAAATTTCAACTTTTGGCGCCATTCCAGAAAAATGTTGCTTGCAACCAAAAATCTACAAAAACTTTCTCCCAATCTTATTAGACCCCTCCGCCTTGGTCAAAATTAAGCACACGATTTTGGTTCAGATTGGAAAAATATCTTCGAGATCTGTAAAATAGCCTACATGTATTGAAGTAGTGTATAATCCGTTAAATAATAAACTTAATCTATGGTGAATAACTTTGTGTTTGGGGTTGTTCCGTTCGGTGCTCCATAACATAAAAACTAAACTAAACCATGTTCTCCTTCCCGTTGACCCCGCTGGTGCGACGCTTGCCGTTCTGGATCTTCAGCATTTTGTTCTCGTCCGCGCACTTTGTGGTGATGGCATTGCGGACCTCCTTCTCGCTGGCGTTGCATTTGTGGGTGACGGCGAAGATAATGTCCTGGATCTTGGCGGGGTCCAGCATCTGCTTGAGCGGCTTCGGCTGGTCCCTGAAGGCGGGCGAGGGCTTCCCCGTCATCGAGTGGGTGGCCAAGGTTTCGCGGTCGAAGATTGTCACGAGCAGCTTGCGGGTGGCAAGGGAGCAGGCCGTCCAGTTGATGTTCTCGAACACGCTGGCCGGAACACAGGTGTTGTTCGGCCCCAGGGAGATCATCACGTTGTCATTGGACTGGCCGTTGCTGGGATCGCTGGTTCTGGGCTTCAGCTTCAAGGGCAGCTTGGGTTTTGTCTTCGGAGACGGGGTCTCCTGCACCTGGATCTCCTGCAGCTTGCGCCGCTTGATGAACTGCAAGGGCGCGGTCTCCTGCTGTCTGGACAGTTCTCGCTTGATGTCTCTGTTCAGTATTTGGGGCGAGGGCTGTGTCTGATTCTGGCTGTCCGTCCCAATGCACATTTCGAGGCGATCCGAGTCGGAGGAGGAGCTCAGGCTGTTGAGACTCTCTGCTGCGAGGCGAATCTCAATGGCGTCGGCGTCGTCCGATGCCGAAATGATCTTGTAGTCCAGCACCTCGGTCCGCTGCTGCTGCGAGCCTTGGACGGGGGCACAGATCACCGAGCTGGGCGGCGTCAGGATCTGGTGGCTTGGATAGACGGGCGGCGTTGGGGACGCAGCATCCGCCACTCCCAACGACTGTTGCATGCGCGCCGAGGTGGCATGGATCTGGGAGAGCAGATCCGTGTGCTCCTTCAACTTGTTCTCCAGGTAGCGCACCTTTTCGAGCAGCACACGGTTCTCGGCATCCATATTGGAGTCGATGTTGACGCTGCGCAGCACCTCGAAGTCGTCGCTGGTGGTCTGGGACCAGGCATTCAGCATCAGTGGCTCCTCCCGTCCGCGATTCTTCTTCTCGTCGTGCACACTGACAAAGTGCGACCCGTTGGCGCTCACGACGCGTTTGTATACCTGCAGGGAGTCATCAGGGTCAGCACTGTTCCTGATCTGGTTTGTGTAGCCAGAAGAGACACTTACGTTCGAATCCATTGCGTTTTGGTTGGTTTGGTTCCAGTTGAGCCGTGTGTCTGGTGTTCTGGTGTTCTCCTCGCCGGATCAGCGTCAAATGAGCGCAAAAGACGGAAAAATTGGCGGCAGAATGTCAGAGAATGCTACGCGAAAAGCAGACTGCAGGCTCTAGGCTCTCGGGGTAGGTTTTTAATAAACAATGGATTCCAACTACAGTAAGCTACCTGGAGCGCCGCATACACACAGGAACAGGCGCACGCACACGCACACGACGGCAAAACTGCATTTGTACCATGTACATGTGCAGGGGCTGCGCTTGACTGTGCTGGAATCTCTCCCTTGTTCTGGTCTCTGGCTTCCCTTCACTTTCTATTCAATATTCTATTCTATTTCCCAACTAGCCGGCCCAGCTGTCGCCTGTCGCTCCGTCCCTCTCGTTCGTGTTGTCTTTCATATGTTTCGCGCGGGAACAAGCCGCTGCCCTGCGAACGGCGACAGAGTTGTATTTCGCAACATCAGGGATGGAGCGAAACTATTCCGCTCTGCAGACGTTATTTAAATTGCAACTAAAGTGGAAAATATAATTTAAATAGGATATTATTTCCAAAGAGTTTTCCCAAGAATCCAAAAAATACAATAAAATTTGTTTTGTAACAAACCGGTTTTGAGGCTCATTGAAATTCGTTGGAATCCGAACCGAATGCAATGGGACCACTACCAATAAACAATTTCCTTTAAGAATAGGCATACACACACACACACACACACACACGCGCGGGACTTATATGATCCTCTCTGATAGGAAACACACCCTTAAATTCTATACCGAATTTTCTGGTATTGGCACTGATATTAATATATGTACATAAAAAACCATCAATTATACGGTCAGGTAGGTGGATATTCAAGATGGTATCCACTCCCAAAGGCCTTGAACAATTTGCTACTATAAAAACTATTTAAGTAAACCCAAACTTAAAGTCTCTAAAAATCATTCGAAAATCTTAGCTATATTTCTGCCCATGATCCTTGGTCTTCAGCCCTAAAAACGTACAGGTAGAGCTGCCATCTGCTGAAAAGGAATGCCGTTAATCCAAGATCATAAAATACAAAAAAAAATTCAGAGCTTAAGAATTTTCGCAAATAAATCTAGAAATCGCAGTGCAGCTGCACATTTGCAAAACCCAAGGAATATTTCTACCTGTTGAAGAAATTTGAGGGAATGGCGGCCGGCGGGACCTACTCGAGCGATCACGTATCTAACCCTACAAATAGCGAGGAAAATGAGATTTGCATGTCAGTAGAGCCGCATCCACTTGCCGCAGCGCACTTTCAACCGCAGACATCGTTTCGACTGCCACCTGTACAGTATTCGCATCCGTATCACCAGTATCTGAGCCAGTTTGCACCCACGTTTGTGCCCTACTACCAACGACTGCTCACGCGTCCGATCGTGAAGCTGGAGGAGATGGACATTGAGAACTACATCAACTGCGAGGTGGCGGCGCAGCGCACCACACTCATGCGACAGACAGCTCTCAGGCCTTTGGGCCAGCACCAGCCAATGGTGGAGCCCAAAAAGGGGCATACGCAAGGCCCTCAGAAGACGCTTTCAAAACAGACCAAGGTGATCCCACAGGCCAGCCGTCGCATTGTTGATGCCAAACTGATGGCCATGACCACGGCAAGCGGCAGTATACGGAACATGCAGACCGCCATGGAGCCGCTGCCTCCCGTCGAGGACTCGTTCAGGCAGCAGGTGGCCAAGGTCCAGAAGAGCCAGCACCACTACGAGCAGCTGTTCGGCAGGCTCACAACCATGCTGCAGACGCTGAATCAGCGCTACGACAAGGAATGCGAAGATGTGCCGGCTCCACCCTCGAAGCGACCACGCCGCTTGTCCACCAGCTCGGCCGAGTCCCACCTGCAGGACACCACGTCTGACCACGAGCGGGAGAGCCTGGTTCAATACCCGCAGCGGGTTAAGGGCAACGACGGCAGCTATGTGTACGTCCTGGGGCCGAACGGCACGCAGATCAGTGCCCATCAGTACGGGGAAGTCTTCTGGACTAGCGCTCCGGTGGCCACCCGCTCCCTGTTGGGTGTTGTCTTCAGCAGCGACGAGCTGGCCACGCACACGCTGACGGGCAAGCCCTCGCCCGCTTTTTACGGCCGCGAGAGACCGCCCAAACTGCAACTGGATCAGCAAAAGGTGGACGACATTGTGGAGTGCGTCGTGAACCGCACGGGCGGCAAGGAGCGCATCATTCGAGCCACCATCACCACGAAGTGTGCCGACACGGCCAAGAAGTACAAGCGACGGGCCAAGAAGGCGCTTAAAATCAAAGAGGAACCCTTCTAGATTGCCCCTCGGGCACCATTAACAATAAGTAACGAGTGGCTAGATATGGTCCAGTCATAATTATAGGTACATACAATAAAATAATCCTTGATCTGCGTATACAAACGTCTACGACTCATTTCCCTTCGAGGGTACGACTTACACACAAATAAGTTAACAAATTGAAATTTATTAACATAATTGCAGCCATTTGCACTCGAATTTTAATATTATTGTAAAGCTATTGAACTCCTATTGTTTCTTCGCTGAGGGATCCCAGGCCTCCACTTTGGGGGGAGTGGTGGTGTAGGGCATATAGGCCTCTGCAAGAGACGCATTTCAAACAAAAGTTGAAAGGAGCCGCGCATGCACTTACCCTTGGTGCCGGAAAGGTTCTCGCTGTGATCCGCTATCCACTTGTATTTGGGTCTGCAGCCATCGCGAATTGGTGGAAGATCGGTCTGCAGGAAGAGTTAAGAGTAAGCGTTAAGAGCAAACAGAAGCTGTAGCTATTGCCATACCTTGTAGTGCATCCATCCGTACCACTCGGCGGGAATCTGGGAGCCATCGTAGTCCATGTTCACATGGGGAGTGAACTCCACCCAGCGATTACGTCCGTAAAAGTAGTACGGGTTCTCGAAGTACTTGTTGCCGTACTTGTCGATGCCCACCAGGGTGCCGATCTTCAGATCATCGTTTCTGCAAAACAATACGGAATTGCTGCTGCAAGAACTTATATAAGAACAGGACTCACCTGTACAGCTTCAGGTAGGCCTGCTTTAGGCCGCCACACTCCTGGACGATCTGGAAAAGCTTGGTCAGCCGATTGAGGCCCAGGAACTTTGCCATGCTGTGCGGAAAGCTAGTGTTTTACCAAATTTATTAATTTTGTCTCTACGAAAACTCACTTGAAACAACAACAAAGTAAATCTGCAGTGTGGCCAGATGCGGACGATGCCTGTGACGCTGTTCAACACTAAGAAATACTAGGAAAAATACTAACAATTTTGTGTGCATGTGGCAGCCCTGTCTTCACATCTGTTCGCCGCTTGTCTTCTTCGTGATTCATTTTCCCTGCCCTGCAAAGAAAAGTAAAGAACGTAAAAAATGGCAAAGAACACCTCGAGCAGTGCGTTCCGTAAAATCGATGTGGATCAGTACAATGAGGACAACTTCAGGGAGGACGACGGCGTGGACAGCGCCGCAGTCGGGCCGGACGAGACCGAAATCACAACGCTATTGACGCAGGGAAAGGTGGTCGAGGCGCTTCTCAGTGCTCTCCAGAACGCTCCGTTGCGCTGTAAAAACCAGATTGTGAAGGTAAGCAGGTGCACAATCGGCTCGAGCGAGGCGTAATCATTGTACTACCTTCGCTTCCAGGACCACGCCCTGAACATTACGCTGCGGGTGCTCTTATCAATCAAGTCCACACAAATCGACCAGGCCATTGATACGGTTGACCAGAACGATCTGATTGATGTGCTGATGAAGTACATTTACCGCGGCTTCGAAATACCCTCGGAGGGCTCCAGCGGGCATCTGTTGCAGTGGCACGAGAAGGCGTTCGCCAAGGGGGGCGTGGGCTGCATAGTCCGTGTGCTCTCCGACACGAACCGCGCCTAAGGGCGCCCAGCAGCCGCAACAGCAGGAAAACCAAAGGCTGGCTCTGGCTTCATTCCCCCTATTTATACGACCCAAAAACACATACACGAACACACAGCGCGGAGCATTTAATCAACGCAACGTTTAGTCATAACTGGAACGCGTATCGCACCGTGGACACCCACTATAGGATGCCGTCAAGGAAATGCCACACCTGAGCTGAGCCCCCCCTATCATTTTGCCGCAATACAAATGACGTTTTCCAAATTAGATTTTAACTGGTATTCAAGTATTAAAGATTTTATTATAAAAGATGAAACAGCCACTCGGCGGAGTATGGATTTGTAATGGAAAAGCCGCCACTGCTGCCACACACCTGCTCATCTCATCTGATCCCATGTAAACACACCGCACGCAGCCTTGGCATAGTTTGAATCAACCTTTTCTTCTTTTATTAGACTATTCAAAATGTAATAAGTGCTTTGAGTAACCTAAACAAACCAGTCGTGGTTTCTACATTGACGGCCACTGCTCTGAAGCGGGGACAGAGTGGAGTCGCCACATCGGCAGACGCGGGTCTTCAGTGACGACTCAAAATGCTCGAATAAGAAATGAAAGGCCTACAGCAATGGTGGGTCTGCATGCAATTTGATGATTTTTAAGTGCCTGGGGGTAAACATTCAACAAAGGAGGAAGGAGTTCGCTTCAAACGTTGTCTTCAATAAATAGTTCGTATGCTGCATATATGTATGTATTGTTTGTGGGTTATTAAGTCGAAGCAGGCTCCAGATTTTCGCCCGCATCAGTGTCCACTCCGGTGGCCTACCACATGTGGGTCTCACGTATCTCGCTGATGATGTGATTTGCCCTGGTCAGAGCCTGCCACAAAAAGAATCAAGTGTCAAGCGAATAGAATGGCATATCGTTTCACGTCTGGCGCTCACCTTCAACATGTCCGCTGCCTCTTTTCGGCGCACTGCAATGTGATCGGACTCGTTGAGCAGCGTTTCAGCCCGGTCCGACTTGTACAGATGTGTGACCAGCTCGCTCTGCAAGTTGTCCTTGACGTGGTTAACCAGGAAATGCATAATGGCCTTCGGTACAGAGTCCTGAATGGATTTGCGCACAATGTAGAAATACGATTTGATCAGACGCTCTGCAAACACAATCGGTTAGTTACTTAGCTTCCAATTTATCAGCGAATTGATGCCATTGATCAAACATACCAATGACATCGCAATCCTTCTGCTCCTTGTCGGTCAGACGACGGGGATTGTGGTTGGCCGGCACATCGGGCAGCAGGTTAACCGGCTTCACTGGGCTCACCAGGTTGTTGTGCACTGGCGTGTTGCTGGCCGAGTTTTCAATGCTGTCCGGACGCGTCGGGCCCGGTGGTAAGATGTTGGACAGCCAAGTGCTGGCCATCGAATGGACCGAGTTCTCGCCAACGTGGTTCTAGAGTACAAAACAAAAAACATGCATCTTGTCTGGATTAAAAATAAAACAAAGATGGGACAGCACCTGCTCAGGGCCGTCATGCTGCTGCTGCTGTTGATTATTTTGCTGCTGCTGCTGCTGTTGCTGTTGCTGCGAGCCTGTGCTGTGCGACGAGACCTGTGGAGAGGGGTGATTGCGCGGAGTATTCGCGCGACGCTGCCCCATGTTCATCTGCGAGTAGGGATCGTTGTCTGTCTTGAGCAGACTCGGCACCAGGGCGGCATCCTTGTGGAAATCTGGGTGCTTGGTGTTGATGTACGCCAGCTCGATGGCCACAATGTTCTCCACCATCACATTGGTGGCTGGCAGACGGCGACGCAGCAGCTGCGTGACCACATCCACAATCTTTTCGTGCAACTTGGGGAAGCTGCGCAAAGGGGAACACAGATCACAGATCAATCGTGGATCACAGACTCTACTCTATGGCTCTCTTACCGCATCATCTCCTGCTGCACTTCGTTGCCGCAGTGCTGCACAATGCGCTGCATCTCCTCGTGTATCAGCTCGACGCAGCGCAGCGAAGGCTCCTCCAGGCGGCGGATCTGCCGCTTCACCAGCAGCTCGAACGAGACTTCCGGCACGAACAGAGCTGGTCGGGGCCCTGTTGCGTTGCGTATGGCCGTGAGTATGTCCATTTTGCTCAAACCCGCCAGCGGGTGTATGGAGTCCAGGGTACGGCCGAAGGTTTCGTGGAAAATGTAGCAGATCCGAGCACCACCGCACAGCTCGGTGGTCTCAATGTTGCGCGCCGTGCCCTCGATGGTGGCGTTGTAGGCGCTGGCAAACTTCGTGATTATCTGCAGCAGGGTCTGGCTCTTGTCAGACACATCCTCGCCGTAGGAGTTAAGCAGCGATTGGAATTGCGTGGACATGATGTTGACGCGTGTCTGTGGAGCATTGGGCAGAGCCACAGTCCATTAGTGCATTTAAAAGGGAAAGCGAGGAGTACCTACCTTCAGATCGGGCAGGCAGTCTCGGATGTGGTGCATCAGCAATCGGTTCAGTGTCTTGGCCAGATACGGAGTGCCATTGCGGGTGGCCAGAGTCGGGTACTTCCTTTGCAGGAAGGCTGCCTCGTCCTTCATCTGCTCGTCGATGTGTTTCTGGTCATTGATGTCTTTCTGCGAGCGATTCATCACGCCAATGATGCCCAGCTTGACGGGAATCACACGGCCACAGAGTATATCAATGGCATCTGTGCCGGCGTCCATCAGATCCAGCTTGGTGACCACGGCCAGGGTGCGTCGGCCGTCGGGGTCCACATCTTTGCCCAGCTTCAGGGCCTCGCTGGTGGCCATGTCCGTGTTGGCTGCCGTCACAGCCAAAATAATGGAGTTGGGGTTCTCAATGTACTTGAGGACCAAGTCTTTGATCTGCGCCTCGATATCCTCCGGCTGATCGCCCACTGGCACCTTGGTGATGCCCGGCAGGTCGACCAGCGTCAGGTTGACCACCCGCGTGGAGAAGATCTTCAGGTTGATGGGCTCGGGGCAGATGCCCTTGTTGCTGCCCGCCGCCCGCTCCGTCTCGTTCTCGATCTCGCGCCGTATCTCATCGAAGTCCGTGAAGCACTTTTTCGTGTGAAGAAAGCGGCCCCACTCCTCGGCATTGGAGGTGCCTGCAAGGGAAAAGCTTTAGAGGAGGTCTCCTACAATTATAGACAGCCACGATGCTCACCATTCTCCGCCGAACGATTCTCGCGATCGTCCAGGGGGCAGTAGATCAACTGCAGCACTAGGGGCCGCCGGGTGACGATGCCCGTTCCGCGAGGCAGGAACGAGCGTCCCACCACGCTCTCGATAACCGAACTCTTGCCGGAGCTCTGCAATCAGTAAAGTAGTTAGAGTTAGAGGATTGGTTCGTTCAATGATAGGGCCGGGCCGATAGCGCGTGCATCAGGGAAGTGTTCCCGACAGATTAGCAGTGTTATCTTGGCAGCCACAACTCAATGACCAGCTCTGGCTCTGAGAGATCTCAGACATCGTCATCGGCAAATGAATCAAAGTGCAATTAAAGCCGCG